CAGCGGCACGCCATGGCGCCTCAGCACAGACGTGCCTCTGGAGACAGGTGCTTATTTGCAACTTCGACTGCCGTGCACACATGAGAACCAGCCACACGCTTTGGTTTTGATTCAAACTGTGCTGACACTTCTGTGTTGCTTGCTTGCGCTGTGTGCAGAGCTCAGTGACGCGGATGCCGACCTTGATGTCGTCGTCGAAGAAGTGCCAGAGTCGCCCCAGCTCCCAACTCTCCCAGAGCTCAACCCGCCAAAGGTACGTTGTTTGGTGTGTGTGTGTGTGTGTGTGTGTGTGTGTGTGTGTGTGTGTGTGTGTGTGTGTGTGTGTGCGTGTGTGTGTGTGTGTGTGCGTGCGTGTGTGCGTGTGCGTGTGCGTGTGCGTGTGTGTGTGAGTGTGTGTACATGTGAGTGTACAAATGTGTGTGTGTGTGTGTGCTTGCATCTGAGCTCGCGGCTCTGCGTGAAGCTCAAGCTTGTGCCGCCACACATCCAATTCCCAACACTTTGCAGTCAATGCCGAATGGAAATGTAGGCACCCCTACTGCCCTGTATCACGAGCTCATTCGCACGTGCCAGCTCCCGCCACCGGTCGTTGGCAAGGTACTGCACAAACACGCCATCGCACACACACACACACACAGACAAACACACACACACACACACAACACACACACACACATGCTCTGGTTCCCCGTGGACTGTTGCTCGGTGCAGGTTCACCACATTCACCTCACCCATTGCCTTGCACATCACGCTTGTTGCAGCTTGGGCTTGACTTTGTGCGCAGCCGCAAGCGCAGATACGGTGAGCGTCATGTGTGTGTGTGTGTGTGTGTGTGTGTGTGTGTGTGTGTGTGTGTGTGTGTGTGTGTGTGTGTGTGTGTGTGTGTGTGTGTGTCCTTGACTGATAGCTTTGTTGCAGCCCACCCTTTCTTGCCTGACGTTCGTCCTTGCCGTCCTTCCTCCTCAAGGCCTCGCCGTCTCACTTGCTCGCTCGTTCCCTCTCACACGTGCGTGTTATCCAGGCCGTGTGCCGCTTGATTACGGTACAGCTGTTGTTGCTGCACCAAAGCAGACACCGCCACCGCCACTGCACGTGATACCCCGCCGGCACATGGCCAAACTTGCTGGCACGCGCCCTGTCCGTCCGCCCGCCCAAGCACCCGAGGTGATGGTTGGATGGGGTTGCTGGCGGTCAAGCGTGGCGCTGTGACGCGTGTAGAGGTCATGCACATGCACGCATATTCACACATATTCACGCATTCACACAATACCGTCACTGTGCAGGCGCATGCGTGTGGATGCGGGTGCCATTGTGGACGAGGACAACGATGATGGTGGTGGTGATGATGGTGGTGATGATGACGACGATGAAGAGGAGGAGTGGGATCGGCACATTGGATTGAACCCACATGATGAGAATGATCAGGAGCGAAGCAAGGACAGGCTGTTTGAGAAGGTACGTGTGCAGCTGCCAAGCGACAACACGCTTGCATGCGTGCACGTGTGCCGTGAGGCGATGTTGCGTGACAGAGAAGGGGAGGGGCAAGGGGTGACAGGGGGTTAAACTTGGCTGACGCTTGCTTGACCATACACTCACGCCAACATGCTGCCTGCCATACCCTCACCACCACTACCACCATGGACTTAGAGCGTGGCGCATCCGTGGGACAAAGGGGATGCGAGCGCGCTTGTGTGGTACACGGACGCGGCGTATTGGGATGCGCAGCAGGGCGACTTTGACGAGCGCAACGCAGACGAATACGACGTCGATCTCACCGCACACTACGGCCTCGGTGTGTTACGCTGGTGGAGGTGGAGCCGGTGAAGGGATGGGATGGGGTGGGGGGAGAGGAGGTACTGCTTCTTGTCTGATTTGTTTGTTTTGTCATCCCACTGTCCAAGCCAACACGCATCGAAGCCACCACTCGGCTGCAGCCTATGCGCAACAGCTCACCTTTTCATTACCCGCACCCCCTCCCAAAATCCTACTGCTACCACCACCACCACCACCACCACCACCACCACCACCACCACCACCATCACCCCTATCACCGCCTCCAAGGCCACGGCGATCGCACGAGCGAGCAAGTTGCTGAGATGCGCGCGTACGGATATCGCGCCCAGCCCGGGGCAGCGGGGCGCCACCACAACCCCGGGTATGCCCCCTTTGAGCGGCACACGAGGGGTGTGGGAAGCATGATCCTGCGCAAGCATGGGTGGCGTGCGGGGGAGGGTGTGGGCCGGCGTGGTGGTGGGCTGGTGGAGGCACTGGAGGCTGAGGGGACAGCGGGGCGCCGCGGGATTGGATACAGGGGGCCACCACAGCCAGGGGGTGGCGGTGGTGGTGGTGGTAGTGGTGGGAGGAGGAGGAGGAAGGCAGCAACAGCAGCGCGAGTACAGCCAGCGTAGTGTGAATGTATGTGTGTGTGTGTGTGTGTGTGTGTGTGTGTGTGTGTGTGTGTGTGTGTGTGTGTGTGTGTGTGTGTGTGTGTGTGTGTCGT